ATAACCTCCATCAACTTTCGGACACAAAATAACCTCTAACAACAACCAACAACTGCCGTATATATGCTGGAAAATTATTTACACTAACTTAGACTCATTATCTGCTAAATTTAACGCACTCATATGTGACATAGTTGATCTCAAACCTAACATAATTCTCCTAACCGAAACATGGCTTAAACCAACCGACCCAGATTCATTGGTTAACATAAGAGGCTACAGTATTTACAGAGCGGACAGATTAAATCGTCTCGGTGGTGGAGTATGTATATATTTATGCAATGAGATCATTGCAGATCAACCACCAGCAATCTACTACAGTGTATGAACGATTGGACGACAGCTTACGATAGGAAAATACCAACAGATATCGTTTATCTTCACTTAGCCAAGGCTTTCGACAGGGTCCCAGTGAGGAGGCTAATGCACAAACTTGACACACACGGTATTCGAGGCCAACTAAACCTATGGATTGAAAATTACATAACAGATATAATTTTCACGGTCAAAGTGGGTCACTCTTTTTCTTCGCACAGGCAAGTCACAAGTGGAGTTCTCCACGGATTTGTTCTTAGCCCACTCCTCTTCATTGTTTATGCAAGTGATCTTGCTACACATAAAGTCCAGCAAGTCGTTTTATGCCGATGATACTAAACTGTATGGAAATGCCTTAGTCGAACATCATTTCCTTCAAGAAGACCTCAACTCGATTAGTCAGTGGTGCGAGGATTGGCTTCTACCTCTTAACGTCGACAAATGCGTCTTACTTCATCAAGGAAAGAACAATCCACTCCATACGTACACAATAAGCGATCAATCGTTACGTACAGTGTCCTCACATGTAGACTTGGGAGTGACTGTTAATACTGACTTAACTTGGTCCGAACATATAATATCCACATGCAAACGCGCAAACACACTGATTTACCTCATCCGCAAAACGTTCCTCTATCTATCATATTCAAGTTCCATAAAACTCTACAAAACCTACGTTCGTCCAATCATGGAGTATGCAGGTCCAGTGTGGAGTCCTGTTTTGGTGCACGATAGGGACTTGTTGGAAAGTGTACAGCGTCGAGCCACACGTATGACTTTTAGTGAAGTGCGTCCAACCTATCCCGAAAGACTGAGGATGGCAGAACTGCTAGCTTTTGACCAACGTTGACTCCGTGGGGACCTCATCATATCCTTCCGTATAGCTAAGTATAACTATGCTAATGAGAAAGAACTTTTTGTTCTTAACAATGATTCGCGGTTACGTGGTCACACACTCAAATTAAAAAAGGAAAAATTCGCAACGAGGCAGAGACAATATTTTTTGGTGAATTGTATTTTCGAAACATGGAATAACTTACTCAACGNAACTACAGAGATACATCGTCATAAATGCGAACTGGATTTATTGTTATTTTGTAGTTAGTACCTGCATTAAACGATTAAAGGGTAATAAACAAAACTAATTTATTAATGAAAAAACACACAACATGTAGAAATCATAGTAAATGTTCAATATGTCTACCTTCGGACAATACGCATGTTGCATGCATGCAACACTTATTCAGTTACACCCCGTATATAATGGTTTTTTCAAAAGTTTTGTCCGTTTTAATTTCATGTGTCTTTTTAGCTCCATATCTCAATAAATATTCATCCTACTGTGTGTATCGTAGTATATCAATCCATAGATAATTCCATGCTCTATACATTTTTGCAGTGGCGGCGCAAGGTCTAAATTTAATTTGGGCAAGGTACATGATGGTGCAAGAAGGGTTTATAAAATAAAGAAGACATTTGAAGTTAAGCGAATTTTTACTCATTTTGAAACAACTATCAACATTTTACAATGTAAACATTTGGGTAAAGACCGATACGACCGATACGGCCTTTGAACAATAACAATTATTATAACCGATTGAATACCATTATTAAGAAATAAAATTCACATACCTTCTAGACACTTGAATGAACGAAAATTCACGGAAAATTTTTATTTTCCGTGATTATTTTATTAGATACTCTATTAGATATTAGATATTTTATTAGATAGTTAATTA